TATACCGCCCTTTTTGTTTTTTATATATTACGCCGCTATTTTAAGTCCGATCGAAACATGTCATATATCAATATTTATGGCTTGACTGTGGCTATATTTCACTCTTAGAAAAATTTTTAATTCGACGTCATATTCTATAAACGATTTCTGATATCTCGGATCCTTCCCCAAAATCTAAAATTGTGGCTATACTGGAATAAAGTACATTGAATTATATGAACTATTAGCTTTTAAAATTCTCACTTTTATGCATAAACACCTATTTTATAGATATTTAAAAATGTTCAAGTATTTATCAACCGTTCTCAGAACAAACAATTAATTTGCCTGGAAAAACAGTCGAAAACATTTTTTTAAATGAATTATATAAAACAGAAATACTTTTATTTTTTCAGTTACAAGCCATTTCATATCCTACTTCCTTTCAAAATAGAAGAAAGTTAACTATGTATATCCTACAGCAATATAGTGGTTTAGATATGTCCGTCCGACTGTAATCAAACTACAAGTCGCAATTTTCCAGATAATTTGATGAAAATAGGCTCAAATATTTCATTTTACCAATGGACGAAGTTGTTTGAAAATGAATTAAATCGGAGCTTGTCCGTTTGGCTTGAAGTTATTTCCGTCTTTAACACTACCATTATGATGAAATTTTGCATATCTAACTCCTATATGAACATAAATCCCTCCACCAAATTTTGATAGGATCGGTCTATAATTGATCCTAGCTCCCATATATACACAGAAAAAACTGAAAATATGTTTCAATTATCAAAATAATTGTATCAAGCAAGTTTTGCACCTATCACCAAAATGATGATATCAATTATCAAATTTGTAAAAAAATTAAAAAAACATACTTTTTTTTCAAATAACGAATTAATCAGAACAATTAATATCGATAATTGAGACAAAATTTAAAATTGATTAATTAATTAATTGTATAAATTAAATATTTAATAAAAATAATATCTAATTTTTTATTAATTTATTAATCAAATGAATTAGTTTGTTTGGTAGAAAATTTATGAAAAACCAATTAAGTTGATGATTAAAACAATCAAATTATTAATTGATTACTCACAATGTTAAGGGAATACTTTACCCTTAAACAATGCGTTGAGCATTTACAAAAAATATCACTTTATTATCAAATTTGAACATATAAAGTGTTTTATAAATTGTCAAGAAACTTGAATATTATATGCCTAAAATCTTATTGACTATTTAAGAATTATAAACATTGTTAGCATAAGAAATCAAAATAAAATATTTAAAAAAAGCTAAAATAGAAAAGTTGGCCAGAAAATTTTTTTCAATCAATTAAAAAAGTAATTGAATCAATTAAAAATTTAATCAAATTTGTAAACTTAGGTTTTAAACAATGAGATAATCAAGACAAATAAAAAATTGTTTAAATTAAAATTAAAGAAAGAGAAAAACATGTTAATTGAAGATAAACTACCGATAATTTTTTCTGTGTAGGCTCTTTCAGAAAATCAGTTTTTCATCAATAAATTGCTTAAAAAGTAATGGACAAATTTCAATATAAGTGCTTTATTAAAAAAGAAATCACATTTTATATATACTCATAACTGGTATCATATGGTCGGCCATTCCCGACTAATATTTTTTATTAGTTTTTATTTCAAGAACTTCTTTTAAAAATATATAACTATTTAAGAAAAGTTAAGATATCATTAAATAAATTTATTGCATTTTATAAAAATTAGCATAAACATTTTTGAAAATTGTTAAAAAAAAACGAAGAAACATGCAAGTAATTGTATGGTAAAAACATGAAATATTTTTATAAAGCAGAACTCTTTCATTTTTCATCAATTTTTATAAAATAAAATGTTTAGTTTTTATGTACCTACGTGATTTTGTTATTAATTAATAAAATTAAATGCTGAATAAAATTATCTTTTTTGTGTTAAGGTAGGGAGCAGAGTGAAATTTTTGTATTGTAAATTAATTTGAAAAAATAGTTTTCGACCATATCCCTAGCAAATTAATTGTTTGTAGTTAAAACTATACAGGTATTTTTAAATACCTGTAAAATAGCTGTTTATGCATAAAACTGAGCATTTTAAAATATAATAGCTCATATAATTAAATATACTTTATTCCAGTATAGCCACATTTTTAGATTTTGGGGAAGGATCCGAGATATCAGAAATCGCGCATAGAATATGATGTCGAATTAAAAAATTGTCTAAGAGTAAAATATAGCTACAATCAAGCCATAAATATTGATATATTATATGTTACGATCGGACTTAAAATGGCGACGTAATATATAAAAAACAAAAAGGGCGGTATTTCTAGGCGTGGCAAAAAAATATTTTTTATATTTTTGGAAATGTTAATAACATATCTTTAATCGTAGGGGGTGACTGACTCAACTTTTTTTTTCGACCCACCCTATCATACATTCCGAAATTTTCGTGTTTTTCGAATTAAAAGATATTTTTTGGAAATTTAAAATATAGTAACTAATTTATGTGGAGAGTTTGGATACAGTTAAATACTAAAAACTTGGTCTATTTGAAAACTTTAAACTTTAATATTTTTTTAAAGAATTTTATATTTTTTGAACGCTTTCTATAAAAAGATGCCAAAAAATTAAAAATTTTTAAATATTGCACGTTTTAATGACAGTGATCTATGAAAGATTGATATATTTTTTGCATAAAATTTTTGGCTATAAATAAATAAGGGACCAGAAAACGTATTATGGACCCATCCTTACAAAATCTGGTAATGAGATTTTGGATCCTATGAAACTTGATTGTGATGATTTTCATCACTATACTTGTATTTTAGACTGTTGTATGTATTTTTGTTCAAATAAACTTGTTTCTGACGAATTTCACCACTATGCTAATATTGCCTGTTTTGAGCGTTAAAGCGTGGGGATCTAATATGGGGATAGGATCAATTATGAGCCGATCATCACCAAATTTGGTAAAGTGATTTTTATTCCTGTTTGTGTTGAATTTCATCATAATACTGCTATTATTAAGCCAGTTCTGATTGTTAAATTAAAATTTGGAAGATAGATTTTTGTTCTTATACAACTTGTTCTCATACAACTTGTTTATCTCGAATTTCGTCGCTATACTGCTACTGTTAAGTCAATAATGATCGTTAGAATATTTTTTTAAAAGGGCCTTATATTGGGGTTGGTCAATTATGGTTCGATGTCCGCAATATATCACATAAAAAAACTTGTGCAAAATTTTATCTCGCTGCCTAATTAATATACATAACTATGACACTGTATTATGGCAAATGCCTTTTAAATGATATCACTGTCGCCCCACTCTAATAAACTTTTATATCTTTATATAACAAGTGTTAAAAACGCATTCGAGTGACCCACAAAAATTCATTTGTAATGTTTTAATAAACAAATATTTTGTGGCTCTTTTAAAACACATGTTTTGTAAACTGTAAGTTTTGGCTCTTCCGACTCAAAAGTTTGCCGACCCCTGGTCTAGTCTATAGTCTAGTCTATAGTCTAGTCTATAGTCTAGTCTATAGTCTAGTCTATAGTCTAGTCTATAGTCTAGTCTATAGTCTAGTCTATAGTCTAGTCTATAGTCTAGTCTATAGTCTAGTCTATAGTCTAGTCTATAGTCTAGTCTATAGTCTAGTCTATAGTCTAGTCTATAGTCTAGTCTATAGTCCAGTCTATAGTCTAGTCTATTAGTCTAGTCTATAGTCTAGTCTATAGTCTAGTCTATAGTCTAGTCTATAGTCTAGTCTATAGTCTAGTCTATAGTCTAGTCTATAGTCTAGTCTATAGTCTAGTCTAGTCTATAGTCTAGTCTATAGTCTAGTCTATAGTCTAGTCTATAGTCTAGTCTATAGTCTGGACTAGACAAGACTATAGGCTTATCTATAATTCAAACTATAGACTTTTATCGTTATAAACACAAGAACATAATTTTAAAATCACTTCTTACTATATATAATGATAAAGGGTTTAAAAATCCTCCCAGATTTAAACTACATTCTTCTTCGCTAGGAAAATTCTTGAGTAGTTTAACAAATAACGCTAAAATTTCTCAAATTAAACACACATTTCAAATTGCCACTACTTTTCAAACAAAACTCCCTGAAGAAATGTAATTTCATTAACAAAACAAAATTAAATACATGAAACTGAATTTTATATTTAATATTTCTTTTGAAAAAAAAAACAACAACAACAATA